GGCTGGCCCCGCTGACGCACTACCACGTTCCATTGGCCTTTGATCGTCATGCTCTGAGTCTCGGGGAGGCGACGGTCGTCTGTCCCTCTTGGCGTAGCGCATGTCCTCCGAGTCCTCTGAGCTATCCTGGACCATGAACACGTGTTGATACGGGCTTCGGGAGTACCCGATGTCGTTTAACTGCTCCATCGTGAGGTTGTTAAGGTCTATTTGATCACAACCTTGCATAAATACATCCATAGACCAAGCGGGTGGCCCCGCTGTTGCGGCTGGCGTCACTTCGGCGGGTGACCCCGCTAGAGCCTGGAGTGCTGTCAGCATCTGAGGTGCCGACATGTCCGAATCCAGGTATGGACGCAGCCGTGCCGCCCCTGGGCGCGACAGCAGGTCGTTCATGGTTATCTGCTGATGTGCTGGCGCACTCAGGAGTCGGATTGCTTCAGCGACCTGCTCTTGGAGCATGTCCTTATAGTCATCTTCCGCCTCTTCGGAGTCAGAGTACGCGGGATGGCCCCGCATTTCGTCATCAGCGTCTCCCGCCTCCGAACCAGCTCGCGAAAGGTCTGGCAGCAACGGCATGCCAATCACCTGCGGTGCCAGCGCGGCGGTGAGCTCTTCCTCGGTCGCCGGGACGGTCTCAGCTTCGGAGACCTCGTCGCCGGCGGGTGGCCCCGCTGGAAGACCGAACCAAGCATTGAACGCGACCTCGTCGACCTCGTCCCAGCCGTGGAACTCGTCGAAGAGGGTCACTGCGTAGTCTTCCAGGGCTACGGTTGCTTCAGCGTAGCGGGCCATCACGTAATACGTGGAGGAGCCCGCAGCGGGAGCCGCTTCTGGATTGACGTAAAACTCGTAGTCAATGTAGTCTATGTCATCCATAAAAGAATTTTGAGCCAAATGTACGGATCCCTTTCCTTTCCCCTTCGGGCATTGATCGCGCAAATGATCTGTGCTACCGCATGTATGACACTTCATAGTATTGCCAGAAGCGTCCCTAGGGTTGCCCCTCCGCCCTTTTCCCTTACCGGAGGTCCGCCTGTGACCCCGACCTTTGCCTCCGATAAGAACTTCTTCAAAGGCTATATCAGTTAAGGACGTGAGGAAAGCAGTGATACCCCTACCATGCATACGGCGTCTGCGACCCCCTTTGCCACGACCCTTTCCATATCGTTTGAAATGTCGGCGTACTGCACGTCTCACTTTTCTGACTGGTTTCTTCATAAAGCGCCTCCAACGGCGTTTTGATTTGCGATAGGCCATAAAAGCGGCTTCCGCTCTTTGTTGCTCAGAAAGGTGAGTGTCATCCGCTGGATAGTCATTACCAGCAGAGACTATGCCATTGTGCTCATCGTCAGATGAGGTGTCTGTGTCAGTGCCAGATTCAAACGGTGAGGGCGGCTGAGACCCTTGAGCGGATGACTCCGCTTGGCCCCAGAGGGTTGTGCCCGAGGGCGGGCTTGCAGTGTAGGCGGCGCCTGGCGAGTAGTTCGACCAGGCGTTCGCCTCAGCTGCCTCTGCCGATGCCTGGCCAGTCTGCCCTAAAAGGGCAGTGGCCTCGTTGGGCATATCGGCTGGGTCAGCCCAAGGATTTGGCTCGCCAGGACCAGCGGGTGACCCCGCAGTCGTGGCGTAGACACCTGCATGTGAGTGGTGCCCTGTGAAGATACCCGCTATGTTGCCAGGAGAGCGCTCGGCGACATGTCCGTAGTTCCTCATCCTGGTCAGCAGCCTGTCATAGTCTGCTTGTGTTCGGGGCATCTGATGATTAAAGGGCTCCAGCAGGTGTTGGGCTCGTGACGCGCCAACGCCTAACGCTCTGAAGAGAATCAGCGTTAGGATCTGAAAGTTGGGGATGACAAATCCAACAGAGTTAGCCTCGTCACGGGCCATCTCGAACCGAGCTAACACTGAGTCGATTCGCTCGCCCCTTTCGACGCGAAAGTCGATAAGGGCAGTGCCAGAGTTGAGCTGGCGCTCATCTTCCAGATTTTCAAATTTGGTGCTCAGTAAGTACAGTATATATGTTACTGCATCCGTTGGCTGTCCATTGACAGTTACACCATAATTGATGATCTGGGAGGGGACCTGCATGGCGATACGACGAGCAAGACCTTGAAGGCCTCGTTGTAGTGCTGCAGCTTGTTGTGGTGGCGTCATATTGCCGCTCGTTACGTTTATCCATGCATGTACTTCGCGAACGTATTCGCGAAAAGGCGTAGTACCGGCAGGGTCCCATGAAGGGCCAGTAGTACGCGTGTCGTCCATCCCCTGCCGCATGTATCCCACAGCACATCCCATTATTACCCACAGAATGCCGAAGATAGTTATCTTAATCCAGTGCATGTGCATTTCGGCTTCGGTGATTGGTTTAGGCTGTGGTTTGTCAGGCTCTGGCGTAGTAGCCGTGAGGCGCCTGACTGGCACGGGATGCAGGTGGCCCCGCTGCGGGTAGCCCCGCAGGGTGACCACGTTCTCGATCGAGTTGCCGATTGGCATCTGGTGGAAGTCGGGAGTGAAGTAGCGCAGTGAAGTAGGAGAGAGCGTCTCGAGTTCGCGGGTTGCCCCGCTAGCTCGATCGCGGACTGGCTCCGCTCCTCGCAGAGCCGGCGCAACATGGTATTCCACCGTAGTAGTAGTCCACCAAGTTGTGCCGTGGATTACAGGAATCAGAGCGAGAGCCAGCCACACGAGAGTGTAGCCAGCTCCGCTACCAAGTCGAAAACAAGCTGGTAAGCTTAGGTATGTGTTACGCTTTAAGCGTTGCCATATCCCAGGCTTTGGCTCATATCGCATGAGCAAGAGAGCAAGACGAAGCATGGGATCTGGAGTAAAGGATAGGATGGGCATCGTCAATGGAAAAGGTATTTTCCGATCTCTGATGCAAGTCGTGCGCCTCGGTGAGGCACAATCACATATTTGGCCGGGCCCGGCTTGAGCCAGGCACGGCAGCGGTACATGCTCGATTTATACCTCGCCTTTAACCTTCTCCGTTTAAAGTGAGGGTGCCACACAGCAGATGGGGCACGTCTAGCACCAAGGGTTCTTGCTTAATCAAATTGGGGAGGGGTCTTGCCTAGAAAAAGGTACCGCACAGCAGATGGCGCAAGTCTAGCACCAAGGATTCTTTGTTTAATCAACTTGGGGAGGGGTCTTGCCTAGCAGAGGGTGCCGCACAGCAACGGGGCACGTCTAGCACCAAAGATTTTTTAAAATCTACTTGGGGAGGGGTCTTGACTAGCAGAGGGTGCCGCACAGCAGATGGGGCACGTCTAGCATCAAGGTTTGTTTTGTCAAATTGCGGAAGGGTCTTGCCTAGCAGAAGGCGCCCCAAAGCAGGTGGGGCACATCGAGCACCAAGGATTTGTTTGCCAACTTGGGGAGGGGTGTTGCCTAGCAGAAGGTGCCGCACAGCAACGGGGCACGTCTAGCACCAAAAATTTAAAATCAACTTGGGGAGGGGTCGCCGCACAGCAGATGGGGCACGTCTAGCATCAAGGTTTGTTTTGTCAAATTGGGGAAGGGTCTTGCCTAGCAGGGGGTGCCACACAGCAGATGGGGCACGTCTAGCACCATGGATTGTGTTTTAATCAACTTGGGGAGGCGCTTCCGGGAGGGATCCTGCGGTGTTGCACAGCAGATGGGGCACGTGTAGTGCTGGACACGTGAACCGTAAAGTCAAATTGCACCTCCAAGTTACGATCTGTTCGTAAGGAGTTATCTAGTGGTTCGCAGTTTCCCTGGGCCACGGACGGTGAGCGATCTACACGCTTCCCGCAGCAGCTGGCCCATGCCATAAGCCGAGCGGCGGAGGAGGCAACGAGAAGGCGCGAGGCGGAGGCTATCAGATTAAATCAGTGCTGCGGCTACACCTGTCGATTACCCTAAAGGGTCAACCCGAAACACAAATGAGGAAAGGGCCAGCATCGGGCCGCAGCTAGGAGGCAGGAGAGGCATTGAAGGGGAAAGAGGAGAAAAGAAGAAAGCGAATGGGCAACCAGCCGAAGCAATCAACACCTGACAGCACCGTTGCTGGGTGGACGCCGGCGTGTCGCACTAAGCGCGGGCCCGGGGAAAAGGAGGAGAAGAAGGGGAGACGCCAAAGGAGAGTGACAAACCACCGAATGCTCATCGGAACACCTCGCGCGTGCGAAGACCAAACGCTCTGGGCAGCGCCAGAACCGGCGCGCGCACAGGAGTCCCACGCGAGTCTAGTGCAAACTGGGGCCGCGTGCTGAAGTAGGCCCCGAATTAGCCTGGTTGGAAGGGCCATGCCGCTTCGCCAGATGAACGGGCACCTCGTGCCACGGTTGCCGATGCAACGCAAGGCGCAGGAGGAGGAGGAGGAGGAAGCAGGAGGACGAGAGCGAACGGCAAGATCAAATCAGGTTCTGAAGACGCGCGAGGGGGGCGCAGGGCACGGGAAGCTCCGAGAGCAAACCGTCCCTGTCTCCCCCTGGGCGGCGGACGAAGCGCCCGAGATCGGGGGACAACGCGCGGATAAAAAACAACGAGCAAGAACATGCAAAGCAACGTAGTGACCGAACCGGGAAGGAAGCAGGAGGCGCGGGGCGGGGGAACTGAGCACTACACCACTACCATCGGACGCCACCCCCCCAGAAGGGGCCACAAGCCCAAGGCAGGGAGAGGACCGCACCCCGACGACGACGACGCCGACGACGACGACGACGACGACGACGACGACGACGACGACGACGACGACGACGGCGACGCCGGCGACGCCGGCGACGACGGCGACGACGACGACGAGACGAGGACGACGACGAGGACGACGACGAGAACGGCGGCGGCGGCGGAGGAGGGAGCGGCGGCGGCGGAGGCGGCGGCGGCGGCGGCACGACGACGACGACGACGACGACAGGGGAGGGGAGAGGGGAAGAGGAGGGAGGGAGGAGGCCGCAGCAGCAGAAGGAGGGGGAGAGAGCGCAGCGGTCCCCTGCCACCCCAGGCGTGGGGCCTCCAGGGGGAGGCGGTGGGGCGAATCAAAAGTGCGACTCACGGACCTTGGCCTTCATGGCGGGGAGGAGGTGCCTGTCGTGGTCGAACTCTCGGACCATCTGCCGCCACGCGGGGTACGCGACTTCCTCCGTCGTTTCCATCTCGGTTATCGTCATTACCGCTTCGGTGGTGGCCCCCTCCTGATCGGTCGTTTTCATCTCGGTGATGGCGTCGGTGCTGGTGCCGATGCTGGCATAGGAGCCAGCATTGGTGCTGGCGTAGCGTTGGTGCTGGCGTTGGTGCTGGCGCCAATGCTGGTGTAGGCGCTGGCGTTCGCGCTGGCATAGTCGCCGGCGTCGGTGCTTGCGTCGGCCGGCGTCCGCGCTGGTGTACGCGCTGGCATTGGTGCTGGCGTCGGGGTTGGACGTCGGAATGGGGGAGTCGGGTTTGCCGTTGGGACTGGTACTGGCGTCTGGGCTGGAAGGAACACCCGTGAGCTGGGCAGCTCACCAGTGCACCCTTGCTGCTGGCGTCGGTGCTGGCGTCGGCGCTGGTGTAGGCGCTGGTGTTGGTGCCGGCGTAGGCGCGGGCCTAAGTGCTGGCGTCGGTGCTGGCGTCGGCGCTGGCGTAGGTGCCATCGTTGATGCTGGCGTCGGTGCTGGTGGAGGCGCTGGCATTGATCCAGGCGTCGGTACTGGTGTCGGTGCTGACGCAGGCGTAGCGTCACTCGATATGTGGGGTAGAGTTCCGTGACGCGCCAACTCCGTGACATTTCGATGTTGCGCTGGACCGCTAGGATTCGAACCACTCGTCGAGCGTGTGGTTGCCATCATCTCGCCAGAACTGGTGGCCATCATGGTCATGTCGCTCTTTCAGGATGTACCGCTGGTGCCGGAACGGCACGTCGAATTAGTGGTGGCCGACGTGTCTCTGGAGCAAGTGGCCGTCGTTGTCGTGTCGCTCAGCGAAGTCGAACCGACTGTTGTCCCCGCCGCATTGGCCGTTTGATCGAACAAAAAGTGGGTTTAAATTTGTACCGCCAGTTGCTCGTGCTGACGTCAGTGCTGGCGTCGGCGTTGGTGTAGGCGCTGGTGATGGTGCCGGCGCCATCGCAAGCGTTCGTGCTGTTGTCGGTACTGGCGTCGGTGCTGGTGTAGGCGTCGGCGTCGATGCTGGCGTTGGTGATGACATTGGTGCTGGTGTAGGCGCTGGAGTTGGTGCCGGCGCAAGCGCCAGCGATCGCGCTGGCGTCAGTGCTGGCATCGGCGTTGGTGAGAGCGCTGGCGTCGGTGCAGGCGAAGTCGCAGGTGTTCATGCTGGCGTCGGTTCTAGCGTCAGCGCTGGCGTAATTGGCGGTGATTGAGCTGGTGTCGGTGGTGTTTTCGATGCCAGCGAATGCGCCCGCATTGGTGCTAGTGCTGGTGTGCCTACGCACCGTCTCCGTGACATGTTTGTATGTGCACTGTGTGGAGGGGGGGCAGGATTTGTTCCCGAGCTCCGGCCACCTAGGCTGCGGCCCAATGACGTCCCGACCCGCGCGGTGTGATTTATTTTCTCCGTGAGCAAACTAGAACCAAAGCGCGCGGCAGGTAATTTGCACGCAGGGTAGCTGGGCACGTGGAGCGTCGGATGCTGGGAACTGGAAGTCGGGGCTGGTGCTCGTGCTGGCGTCGGTGCTGGCTTTGTCGCTGGTGTAGCCGCTTGCGTTGGTGCTGGCGCCGGCGCAGGCGTTGATGCCGGCGTCGGTGCTGGCGTCAGCGCTGGCATAAGCGCCAGCGTGCGTTCCTGGGGAAATGGTGAGCCGCGCAGCTCACCAGCCGGTCTGCTGGCGACGGTGGTGGCGTCGGCGCTGGTGTAGGCGCTGGCACTCGTGCTGGCGTAGGTTCACAGGGTCACCAGGCGTCTTCACCGAGAATAGCGGAATAGCGTCTTCACTGGGAATAGCGTCTTCACAGGGAATGCGTCTTCACCAGAAATAGCGTCTTCACCCGGAATAGCGTCTTCACCGGGAATACCGTCTGCACCGGGATTAGCGTCTTCACACGGAATAGCGTCTTCACAGAGAATAGCGTCTTCACGAGGAATAGCGACTGCACCGGGAATAGCGTCTTCACAAAGAGTAGCGTCTTCATCCGGAATAGCGTCTTCACGCGGAATGGCGTCTTCTCAGGGAATAGCGTCTTCACCGGGAATAACGTCTTCACCAGAAATAGCGTCTTCCTATAGGGGAAGTGCTGTGTGTGTCCGCAGAACGCGTCTTCACTTGGGAATAGCGTCTTCACCGGAAATAGCGCCTTCACCAGGAATAGCGTCTTTACCCGGATTAGCGTCTTCACAGGGAATAGCGTCGTCACCGGGAATAGCGCACTCACTGGGAATAGCGTCTTCACAAAAAAAACGTCTTCAAATAGCGTCTTCGGCGCCGGCTCGAACGGGGAACCCAGGTTGCCGGGGCAGTGAAGATAGAATTGATGCTCGCCTCCCTGACCCTCGTCATCGTCGGCGTCGTCATCATCGTCGTCGTGGTCGTTCTCGTCGTCGTCGTCGCCGTCCTCGTGGCATAATGCTTGCTTCGGCTCCCACGGCGCTGCCACGTGACGACTAGAATGGAGTACGAAGTATTCGCGCCTACAGGCGTTGCCAAGCGGAGAGTGGAGTGGCACAATATGCTTTTCGGCCCCCGCGGGGTTGCCACGTGACAAAAGGAGTGGAATAGCTCTGCCGCTCCGGCCCCCGCGGCGCTGCCGCGTGACCAGTAGCGTGAGTGCAACACCGTGCCTTGGCGCCTCCAGGTTGCCGCGTGGCAGCGTGGAGAGGGTGCTCTTTCTCGGCCTCAGGCGGCATTGCCACGTGACGAATGCTGTGGAACGGTGCGCTTTTTCGCCCCCCCAGGCGGTGACGCGGGGCGAACTCGGTGACATCTCTGTGTTTCTCAGCCCCCGCGGCGCTGCGACGTGACGACGTAGAGCGGAATGGTATTCTGTCGCCAGCCAAGGCGCTGCCACGTGGCAGGTGGAGCGGGAAGGATGTGTGTTCGGCCTCGCGGCGCTGCCACGCGACGAGGCACACATTGCGTTTCAAAGGATTTCATTGCAGTGCATTGCATTGCGTTGCGTTTCACTGTATTGCGTTGCGTAGCATAGCGTTGCATTGCATTGCACTGCGTTGCGTTGCATTGCATCCTGTTGCGTTGCATTACTTTGCACTGTGTTGCATTTGCATTGCAGTTGCAATGCATTGCATTGCAGAAAATTACGGGCGAGGCGGAGGAGGAGGAGGAAGTGGAGGAGGAGGAGGAGGAGGAGGACAGAACGGAGGAATGTACAGAGAAGAGTAGGGAAGCAGGAGGAGTGAGAAGGGAGGAAAGGGGAGGAGGGGACGGAGGAGGGAGGGGAAAACCACCCAGCCACCCAACCAATCAACCCACCGACCAAACACCAACCAACCAACTGGCCAACCAACGAACCAACCACCCAACCAACCAACCAACCACCCAACCAATCAACCAACCAACCAACCAACTAACCTCGTTGCCTCGGGAAACAAATGAGCCAGAAACAGGTGTGGCAACCAGCCAGCCAACCAGCCAGCCAACCCACCAACCAACCAACCGCCCAAGCAATCAACAACCAATCTATCAACCAACCAACCAACCAACCAACCGCCGCTCAACCAACCCACCAACCGACCGACCAATCAACCAACCAGCCAACCGCCGCGCAACCAACCAACCCTCGCCCAACCAACCAACCAACCAACCAACCGCCCCGCCAACCAACCAACCAACCAACCAACCGCCCCGCCAACCAACCAACCAACCAACCAACCACCCAACCAACCCCAGCCAAACAACCCAGAACCGACGAGTCCTTCTCCAAGGATGTTTTAGAGGATGTTGCACGACGCAGGACCTGGAAAACATTTTGAATTGGAAAAAAATCGGCTTCAAGCAGAAAGTAAGCATGTTCATAAGGCTGAAAGAAAAATTACAAACGGCCGCTCCAGTACACATCGGACAAATACGCAATATTTCTGCGTTTCTGATCTCACTCAGACACATGCACACAACAACGCTCGACGTATCCCTGTTCCTGCAAACGCGGGTGAGACTGACATGTAATAAAGCCAGTCCCGAGATGGACCGTGAACATGACGGCTGCCACCACGGCCGATTCCGAGATGCCTATCAGCTTGAGACCTTGGGCAGCCGACCCTCGATCCCACCAGTACAGCGAAAACAAACACAGAGTGCAAGGACAATCGAGAACTGTCAGGAGACAAGCGCGAAGAGATCGGGCAAGGAAGAGACGACTCAGAACACTGCTTGGGCATATCCCGAGCGTGGTGGAATACACGGCGAGGCCATGGGACGCAACACCACGGGGTCAATCGTGCCGTGGCCTGGCGGCGGTGCCAACCGTGGAGCTGTGCCCGACCGCTACCCGACGGAGGCCACATGTCATAGCCGACGCTCTCGCCGTAAGAGGCGGGGCAGTTCAGGAACAGCGTCCCGAGCGGCAGGAGGCACGCTGCGGCGGACGATTGCGACTGTGCACCCACGCACATGCAGTATACTGGTAGGGTACGACACCTCGCGAGAAGAGATATTGGGGCACATTCTTCGTCGATCGTTGAGGGTCTGGAGGTGCCCCAGAGCTTCTGTGGGTCCTTGGGGCCATCGGGGGATATGAAATCCTCGTGGGGCACCTGCTGCAAGGCCGACAACTGATGTGATGTGCCTATTGTTAGGTCGGACATGTCCTTCTACAGGCGGGTTTTGGCCGATAATTTAAACATGCAAAACGTATGCCCAAATGGTTAGAAATACAAAGCCGGAAAAAAAAAATCAACGAGACGAGAATGATCTGCAGACGGCAGCGCCCAAAGAGGATCATTCAGTGATGCTCGCCTCTCAATGTTGGCAGCGTGCGCAAGCGTGCCCCATGGGCCAGGTCATTGATATACCACACTTTGGCTTGCGCGCCCAGCGGCAACATTGCGAGGCGGACGCCACTTAATACCCGGCTGTTCTTCCAAGTTGCTCCTTCACAGTGCTGGTGGCGTTGGCGGTTCCACGTTCTGCCTGGCGGTTTCGTTCCCACCAGTCGGATGGCTAACATGCAACGCGCAATGCAGACGAAACGCTTTTCCGTAACATCGACAGGCGGATGTCATTTGATGCGACGGGCCCCGCCTGGTCTGATTCAACATACTTTCGGTTTCCATCCCTGTGTCATTTTTGTTATAAACTTGTTTCGCGAGGATGTAGTCAAAAGATCGTCCCCTGACGATGTTTTGACTATTTTTTTCTCCTGTAGGGGGACATGCCCGACTGAAGCCTACTGTGCAATGCAAGCTTGGTGTGGCTCGGAGCGAAGTGGGTCCGCAAGGTCCGCGGCCCGCGTCGGACGGGCCACAAACGACACGCTTGGAATGTTTGGTCCGGCATCCGCGCAAGACAAAGACATTATGACATCGACCTCCTCCGGCATGAAACTACACATGTTTCTGCATGTACCGCGGTATCTGGAAACCCTTCACTCCAGCATCTATATATATATATATATATGTACACACAAATAATTATACATACCTCTTGGGGATGCATCGTTGACTTCTGCTGGCTCTCGCTGGCGGAGCCGTCCCCGCGTTGCCTGCGCCGCCTTCCGCCGCCCTCCCGAGACCTTCCGCAGAGGAGCAGGCCTCGAGATCCAGCGTCCGCAAAAGCAATGCAGTCGCAGCATCGCGGAAAAAAACCTTGGCCAGCGTCCTGGGCCCCGTCTCTCTGCGGCAACCTTCGAGCCGGAGCGGGCCGTGAGGGCCCCGGGGCCCGAAACAAGGCACAATCGCCCGTTGCGAAAAGGATGCGACTGAAGGGGCACTTGGACACGCAAGTAAATACACACACAAATGGCAGGATCCCCCATCTTTTCCCACATGTTCTAAGGATTTGTCTTCCCCCCCTTCCTGACTACCTACCAAACCACCCCAACCCAACCCGAAGACCCGAATTTCGGGTTGGGGGGGGTACGGGCTTCATGTGTGTTTTGTCGGTGTTCCCCGACCCCCCCCCCAACTGGAAATGGAGGGCAAATCGAGGCGTCGGGGTTGGGTTGGGGTGATTTGGTGGGTGGTGATTTCCTGGGAGCCGACGGTGACTTGTGTCTGCGTGTCCTTTCCCCTCCGGAGCGACGCCAGGATCTCGGGGAACCCGACGGTTTGTCGGGCCATGACTCGGGCCTCCGACGGCCCTTCCCGGGGACGAGGGCGCGGGCACCCGCGGAGCGCCCGCGGCGATGGCGCGGCTGCTGCAGGGGCAGCCCCCCGGGGCTGGAACGCCCCGCCGGGGACAGGCGAAGACGCCAGGAGGCCTCGAAGAACCTTCGATCGGGTCGGGCGAAAGGGGGGGATAGCAAAGGGGGGGTTTGAGAATGAGCTCACGTAGCTGATTTTCCCCGCGCCTCCCGGCGCCGGAAGCGGCTATGTATCGAGGAATGGGCCCCTCGGTGAGGCCGAAACCAGCTGCATGCAGCAAATTTCGTAACCCCCCCTTTCCCAATCCCCCCCTTTCGCCCGGCCCGATTCGAGCCTTCTCGAACCCCAGAACGGGCCGGGAAAAGCCGTGCGACATCGCCCGCTGCGTGGGAAGGTGCGGCGCCGGCATCGGTCCCTCGAAGGCGGGGGGGCCCTTCCCTGCAGCGCGCCGCGTGGCAGCCTGGAACACATCCCTATATCCCTATGCTGGGCATCTCCTCGTCACGATATGCCAGTCTTGGGAATTCCCTTCGTTTTTCGGGGCGGATCCCTGAGATTGTCATCGCCCTTTGGCGTGTCAATCTTAGGGATAGGGATAAGTTCGAGGCTGGCGACCGTGTGGCAGCACGTGGGGCGCAGGCGACGGGGCCCGCCCTCCGTGCCGAACCGGCGCGCTCCGTCGCCACAGGGGGGGGCGGCACTGGCCTCACGCTGCGGGGCGCTGCCTCCTCCATCTCTTCCTCCTCCTCCTCCTCCTCCTCCTCCTCCTCCTCCTCCTCCTCCTCCTCCTCCTCCTCCCCCTCCCCCCTCCTCCCCCTCCTCCTCCTCCTCCTCCGCCTCCTCCTCCTCCCCCTCCTCCCCCTCCTCCTCCTCCTCCTCCTCCTCCCTCCTCCTCCCTCCTCCTCCTCCTCCTCCTCCTCCTCCTCCTCCTCCTCCTCCTCCCTCCTCCTCCTCCCTCCTCCTCCTCCTCCTCCTCCTCCCTCCTCCTCCTCCTCCTCCTCCTCCTCCTCCTCCTCCTCCTCCTCCTCCTCCTCCCTCCTCCTCCTCCTCCTCCTCCTCCTCCTCCTCCATCCGTGGATCCGGAGCCCGGGCGCTGGAGCTGCGGATCCCAAACCCTGATCCCTAATCTGGGCGTGTCACGACCCCCGCCCCATGCAGTCAGGAACTCTTGCATGGCGCGTCGCGGAGTCGGCCTCTGCGACGCGCTGCGCCCTGCGAGCTGCTGGGATGTCGCTCTCGGCTCTTCGGAGCCCTGAAATCTTGGGACGCAGCAGTGGCATGGCCTCCTTGCTCCTCCGAGACAAGCGCAGTGGCTGACCCTCCGGGAGGCAGCAGGAGAGCGAGCAGGCTCTGCATCCGAGCTGCGTCCGCCCCTGCCAGCGCGCGCGCGAAGGTCGCCTTCTCTCTCCACAGCGCACGCACCATGCAGTATTACACGAGAGCCCGTCCTCCCGAAGAGCCAAAGATGAGAAACGAGGACCATCGTTTGGATCCGAACCGCGAGCCGCAGAAGCATACCATCTCGATACCACAGCATCAGATCGATCAGAAGAGCCTCCACTGCAAACGGACAGCTGCGGGATGGGTCGACGGTCCTTCCGTGACCCAGCCTCGAAACAGCAGGCGGAGAATCTGCCGCACCTCCCGCCCTTCTCCGAGGCCAGGTTCATACACCTCCGCCGCCTTGGAAGGCGATGTTCCAGAACCCAAGCGGGGCAACGCGTTTGAAGGTACAGCCATCGGCCTAACCTAAGGAACGATAAATAAGGAACGAAGCCCCTTTCTTCCAAGGAATCACGCATAAGGAAAGATTAATAATAAATGACGCACCAGACACGGTGAATAACGCATGCAAGCCTAAGGAACGCCAGAGCCCCGTTTGAAAAGTAAGTGTTTCTTATTCAAGCCGCTCACTGTACACCACCGCCGCCTTGGAAGGCGATGTTCCAGAACCCAAGCGGGGCAAACCGTTTGAAGGTAGTTTGGGGCCACCCCAGGGCCCGAGAACACCCATTACCCACCGCGCCTTCTTTGGTGCTGGGGCATCGGATCCCCAGGCAGTGGATATCACGTACAACTCCCGGCCTCCGACTTTACCCCTTCCCTGCCATTCCCCTCGAGCCCACCTGGTGCCTTCAAACATTGGCTGCCGGGGCGGCTGGGGAGTGGCTGCGGCATCGCCAGGTTGAAATGCCTGACACGTGGTCTGCCCAACCCGCGCTCCTCTCCACGCTTTGGGGCGCCGAGAGGAGGCGGGACAGAAGCTACATTTAAATATTAAACTCAGGCAGACGCAAAGAGGAGGAACATGGCCCGAACTCGAGCATCGGAGGCAGGAGATACGTAACAGGAAACCTGGGGCTGGGAGGAGGAAGCAGCTGGGGCGAGAAGCTTTTGAGGTGCATCGAGCCACGCCACTACTTCTGGCATTGAGGAAAGAATGCCATGAGGGAAACGGATCCTGGACCCGTCCTGGGCTGTTTTCCGACACTCGCGAGGCTGGGAAAGGCCAAGAATACGAGGCCGATGTGGCATCACAGCAGCAATTCGGCCCCTGACTTTCGTCCTGGGCTCGGTTTAGTGAAGTGATGAATTTCGGGGTCCTCACGTGGGACAAAAAAAACATCACTTCACTAATCTGGGGCCCCTGTGGCCTCAGTGGACCCTGGGGCCCTAAATCAGTGAAGTGATGGTTTTTCGGGCCTCGGAAAGAACGGCGGAACAGACTTGCGCTTGGATGAGCTCTGGTTTTCGTCACGACGATTGTGCTTTGGAAGATTTGGCAAATACTTGGGAACCTCTGTCAACCCCGCAAGAACATATGATATGTGGTACCCTGTGCTTTGTAGCCCAGACAAATTCTCTCAGGTTGGGAATTCGACATGACTTAGCCACGCTTGCACAACTCGCTATACTAACTCGCGCACGCGTTAAAAAGGCTAGGAACAAATCCGCTGACCCCCGCATGCCGGGGGTGAGAAGGCGTGTGAGATGATTGGCTGTCCCCCTCCCCCTTTCCCACTCCCCCAAAGTCCAAAATCTCGTTTACGGGGGGGAGGTATCCGGGCTCGTCGGCACACCCCCGGAGACTCTGGAGCTTCCAAATCTGCGTTCCGTGGCCTCACAGACGTTCCAAGACTGTCCCGAATGGCAGAATCTTTGACCCAAGACGCTTACGATGACTCCAAGACGCCCCAAGACGCCTTCGAGACTCCTCAAGAGCCTTCTCAAGATGACCCCGAGAAGCAAAAGTCAATTGTTTTCCTTGGGTTTTTCACTGTTTCTGGGGTTACCGTCTTCTCGAACTTCCGACGCTCCCAGACGGCCCAAAAGAGGCCCTGCAGACCGCCCCAAAACTGCCCAAGAAGCCCCTACGAGGGCCCCAGGACGGCCCACGACAGTTCCAAGACGGCCCAAAGAGGGGCCCAAGACGGCCAAAGATCGCCACAAGAGGGCCCAAAGAGAGGCAAAGAGGGAGAGTACGAACCGAACATAAAGATCTATCCCCTCCAAGAGGCCCCCCAAGAAGCCTCAAACCTGCCTCCAAGATGCTCAGCCAGGCCCCCAGACATCTCTCCCGAGACGCCCACAAGAGTCCCCAGATAGTGCCCAAGAAGCCCACCTCGCCTCAATCGTGGAATCCCCGCCCCGCCTTGTCTGAGGGTCGGCGGAATGGCGTAAGCCTCTTGAATAGCAGATGTTGCCAAGTGGCTGGCAGAAATTACTAAGCGGTGGGCAGAGTTTGCCGATGCAGTCGGACCTGGCCCAGAAGAACATCCCTCAAGAACGTGCGACCCTCCGTCGGTCAAAACACACCGAGCATCTGAAGGTACCCTCCTCAGGATAGATAAGGACATCCTACAAGCACGAAGAGCACCAGGGCACACTCCCCGAACCGACCTCCATCTTATGTCTCGGTCCGACTGTCAGTCATACGATTGTGACAACCACAGCAACTGTAAACAGACCGTGTGCTCGTCGATGCCTGGGCGTGCCGAGCGCAAGAAGCGGAGGGGGGGGGGCACACGAGGCCACGGGCACGTGCGCGGACGAGCGGAGGGCAGGAGACGACCCGAAAGAAGAAAGGGGGACCATCAGCTCCGAGGGAAGCCGCGGCCCCGGGCTATGAGGTCCACACACCCTTCTGCCCTCACCCCCCTCTTGGGCGCTTCCGGCAGGCAGGACCCCTATCTCCCCCAGGACCCCTTCCAAAGCATCCTCGGACATGAGCTCTTCCATCCGCGGCCCCGGGGCTCCCGATCCGCTCCCCCGGGGTAATGCTGTGCCCTGGGCCCAGTCTTGACTGCCCCGGGGCCCGAAAGGAGCCCCTGGAGGTGGAGCTGAGCAGAAGACGACATGCTTGACAGATCGCACCGTCGGAGGTCCGGGTCTGCCCCACGGCAATGCCAGCCCGCCCCCCTCTGGGCCACCTGCTGGTGGACGGGCGCGGCCAGCGCCGCGAGCGGCAGCCCCTGAAAGCGGGAGGCAGCCGCCACGATTACAAAAAGTTCGGCCCCGCGGTGCAGCACGAGTGGGGCGCTGCCTGGAAGAAGAAAAACGTTCAAACATGCACTTTTGGAGGTCCGCGCGGCTTTCTTGGATCCGCGCTGGACCCCCCTCCCTGGCGCGCGGACTGCGCCAGTGGCGGCGCCAGAGGCGACGCCGGGGGGGTCCGGCGCGGAGCCAAAAAGTCCGCGCGGAGCTCCGAAAATTTATGTTCATGCCATGCTTTCTCCTTCGACTGCTGGGAGGCTCCAATGCCGCCCCGCCCCCCACCGTGCGTGTCCGCCAGACCGGGTATCCGGGTGCCAGCGGATGCTCTAGGTGTCTAGATGTCTGTGGGAGCCTGCGCGTGTCCCCCTTCTTTGTCCAATGTGGGTCAGGTTTGGGCCAACACCAGTAAGCCCGTAGATTTAGAACAGATCCGGAACCGGTTTGGACCAGCGTTGGGCCACATCTGCAATGAATGCCCAGCATGCGGCGTGGGAGGAATAGGGCACGGGCGGGGAAGGAAGAGGGGCGAAGATGAGGAGGAAATCGAAAGCTGACCTGGGTGGATGGCCCAAAAAGATGAATCCGATCTTGCCGCCCAAAATGCTCCCATGAGAACAGACACCGAAGGTGCTGCCGCCGGCTATCCGGGTCGCAGAAGCGCACCTGCATTGCTGGCTGAGCTCTGGCTGGGGGGGGCAACTACTGGGAGGCCTCCGCGGAAACTGTTGCTCAGTCTGAGATCCTGGCGTCGCTATTTTTCACGATGGGCGAACTTGCTTTGTTCGGGGCCCAGGGACCCTCACGGATCGATCTGGCTCGAAAAATGCAGCAGAAAGATGGGGCGCCCGAAGCTCTGGTGGCAGTCTCTGTTCTACGATGCTGCGATTCTTCGTCGCGCCGGATCGCAGGGTACGGTCGGGCACTTTGGCTCGGCGTGTCGCGGCGGCGGCCCAGCTGACACGCTGTGCCCTGCGAGCGGATAGCGTGCCGCTCCGCTTCACGGGGCGGAAGGCTGGGAAGGGCTCGGGACGCAGGTGCCCGGGACTCGGACAGCGGTTCGCGTGCCGCGCCGACGCGTGGTGGGCCAGAGAGCCCGCGGCGCGACACGCTGAGCAGGCGTTGCCGACCGCACTGCGCTCCCGTGGCCCGAGCCGCGGTGCCGTCGGGCCGCGGAGTCCGCGAGATGGGGCCGAGGGCCCGGCCAGAACAGGCAGGATGCGGCCAGGCTGTGCTGGACTGGGCTGGGCCAGACTGGCCTTGGACCCCGAGGTGCCGCGCGGCCGCCCAGGAGTTGCACCCACTTCTCGGGGTCGGCGCTCGGCTTATCATGGGGGAACCACAAGGAGGTCCGCGCGGATTTCTCGGATCCGCGCTGAACCCCCCTCCCTGGCGCGCGGAGCGCGCCAGGGGCGGCGCCGGAGGCGCCGCCAGGGGGTCCAGCGCGGATCCGAGAAATCCGCGCGGACCTCCGAATTTTTATGCTTAGGCCACTTTTTGTTCCCCTATATAATGCCATCCGTCGCTGCCGCGCTCCGTTCCCGCTTCTCCACTGGACGCTGCAGCCTCCGGCAGCCAGGCGAACACTCCGGGTATTTCTCCACCGGCGCGCAGCAGAAATAAGTGCGGCAACGTAATTGGCCCCAGAGCAAGGGTCCAACTTGGCAGGCGCCATGCATCTCTGCCGCAGACTGCCGTGACGGGCAACCTATCTCTAGCGGGGTGAAAACGTTGTCGGAGAAGGGAAGGAAGAGCCCAGATGTCCGAAAACGTGACGGTGGTGAGCGAATCGCGAAGTTGTGAAACAGGATAAGCACTGGCAGAACTCCCAACCCTAGGCGTTTTCTAGATTCCCTCGAGCCGGATCCATGTGTGAGGGGCCCGCGGCCCGAGCCGATGCCCGTTTGACGACGCACGGGTCTGGGAGAATGGGGGGCAGAAGGGATTGGGGATGCAGGGGTGGCAAAGAAAGTGATAGCGACTCGGCTCATACAGCTCATTTTGCCGACGCCTCCCGGCGCTGGAGACGGCCGTGCATCGAGAATGTAGCCACACCAGCTGGAAGCGGCAGATGTCATGGTTGAGCGCCCCTCTGCCGTATCGCCCACGATTCGTCTGACCCGAGAGGAAGATCGAATAGCAACTTTGCCCTGGCCTCTACCGTATAAAAGGGGAAAAAACCCGTCCCACGTCGTCAGGGCGCCAGGGCGCGACTCCTGGAGTGGGCTTCACGGCCAGTTGCGCAGGACAGGTGACAACCTGCCAGGGGCTCCGGCGGCTATCCAGAGATACGCCCTCCTCTCCCGCAGCCCTCCTTCTCAGTCCTCCTCCTCCTCCTCCTCCTCCTCCTCCTCCTCCTCATCCCCCTCCTCTTCCTCCTCCTCCTCCTCCTCCTCCTCCTCCTCCTCCTCCTCCTCCTCCTCCTCCCCAGACCACCGACGTCATGATCTTTAAATGCCGTCGAACCCCATATGTCTCGATTAATTCCCACGGACCAGTTTTCCATCCTGGGTTGCTTTGATGACGGTCGTCCCGAGGCCCGGTGAGGGTCCCCAGAGGCAGAAAATAACGAAAAGCCGCCCGTCGCGATTTTTCCATGACTCGACGGGGGCTGGGCTCCTCCTCCTCCTCCTCCGAGCCTCCTCCTCCTCCTCCTCCTCATCCACCTCATCCTCCTCGTCCTCCTCCTTCTCCTCCTTCTCCTCCTCCTCCTCCTGCTCCCCTTCCTCCTTCCCAGGACAGCGCAGGACACCTGGGGGTGGCCAGGCGTTGGGCAAAGATGGGAACCGAATATGTAGAGGCGACAGGCCCAGATAGCCATCTGCTCTCGTTTGTACATTGAATTCCGCAAGATCACGCGATGATGGGGGGCCTCACCAGCACATGGTGGTCGACGAGAAGGTCTGTCGCCTTGAAGAACTTCCAGGTGAGTTCCGCGGCGTCCAGGGATGTCAGGAGCGCAACAAAAAAACACCAGAAGCAGCAACATTCGGAGGTATGCGCGGACTTCTTGGGTCGGCGAAGCCTCCCCCCCCCCGCCGCCAATCCCTGGCCGCACCTCTGGCGCCGCCCCCGACACGGTCCGCTCGCCCGGGGAAGGGTGCATGGGGAAGCTTGGCGCAGACCCGAGAAGACCGGGCTGGACCCCGAGCGCCTGTGCCCGTGCTGCGTTCTGCTCTCCTGGATGTGCCTGGGAAGGTCGAAGGATTGATCCACTTGTGCGACGGCAGCTCCGAGCCCCAGGAGACAACCATCAGCGGCGGAAGTCCCTCGGAGGTCGCTCGCCAAAGCAGGCGCTCCGCGTAGCGCACGCTGCCGCCAGAGCCCGCGTCGAGGCGTGTCCTGGAAGCCGGCTCGGAGTGGGAGTGGTACGGGTCGTGGCGCCGCAGGGTCGCGAGGGTGTCGTGGTAGAGCTTCTCCCCGCCGAACTCCTGCAGGACGTTGTCGTTGTGGTTCCAGATGACCATCGTGGGGCTGCCGTAGCTGAGGTTCTTCCACTGCTCCAGGTGCCCCACTCCAGCCTCCACAGCCGCCGCACCGCTGAAGACGTCGGGCAAGTTGTTCTGCAGGAAGAGCGCCATAGTGCCTCCGTTGGAATGGCCACACACGAAGACCTTTTCGCGCCTGACCAGGCCCTTCGAGTGCAGGAGGTGCACGGCGGCCCGGAAGAAGCCGACCTCGTGCGGCGCCCCGAAATCCCAGGAGTCCGCCCTCTCCTTGACCATCTCTGGGAAGGCCAAGATGAACCCATCAGTCACGTTCTCCGCGACGGCCGCGAATCCCGACACGTTGGCGATGTTCAGCGCGGTATCCTCGCTGCCGTGCAGCACCATCACCAGCGGCAGCCTTAGAGGAAGAAGACTGCTTTAGCAAAAGCTTTCGGAGGCCCACGCGGTCCTGCGGAAACTTGCGAACCTTAGCCGCCCCGATACGCAACACGGCACACGTAGCGTATCGATACGGAGCTCAACACGCAGACTGAACAAGTGGGTCCGACGCGATACGCTCGCCAAAACGTGGGCCAATACGTGGAGCCGACACGCAACGTTCGGGGAGACGTAAGACTCGGGTACGGGGGACTCGGGTTGGCCCGACGGGGCCATCATAAAAATGACGAGGCCCAATCTGAAATTTGACGCGAGCTCCCGCTGCAGACATCCCACGAAAACTGGACCGTCAAAATCCAGGACGCGCTCGTCAAAAAAAGTCGGCAAAGCCGAGTTCCGGCATACTCGGGTCTTGCGTTTCCCCGAAACGTATTGGCACGGACGTCTCGAGTACGGTAGGTGTTGCGTATCACAACGTGCGTATCGAGGCAGCTGAGATGCGCACCCGTTTCTTGGACCGGCGCCGAAGCGCCTCCCCCTGGAGCGCGGAGCGCGCCATCCACGGTGCCCGCCAGGGGGAGCCAGCGCAGATCAAAGAAACCCGCGCGGACCTTTACGTCGGGCCTGTCCCCCTACGGGGGGATCTTCGACGAAACATAATCAAAAATAATTAAAAAATAGCCTGGGGACTATTGTTTGAGTAATTGTTCGCCTGTTCGGGGCATTTTGGGGGTATTTGTTATGTTTCGTCGAACATCCCCCTGTAGGGGGACACGCCCGACATAAGCGGACCTGCGAAAACTAGTGCTTGTTTGTCTTCTTTGAGACCTCTCGCCCCCAGCGGCACTGCTGTTCGGCTTGTAGACCCAGAGCCCTCTGCCGGCGATGTCCAGCCTCACCATCTGGCCGGTTGGGAAGTGGTCGGCACGCCTCTCCATCCTTGGCGAGGCGGAAGCTCATCCACAAACACTGCCAGGGTGGATCATTTTCGAGGACGTCGGCAGGTGGTGAATATGGACATATCTCATGTCCACATCCACCGCCTGCCGAGGTCCTCGAAGATCAATCCCCCCGGCGTCGGTTATGGAGGAATCCCAGCCTCGGATTTGGAGGCGGCTGGGAGATCTGAATTGGATGGGCCTTGAGAGGATCTATCAACAAGGAGGGATAAAGGCAACTCCGTTCAAAATCGGTCCCAGGGATCGAATTATCCTGGCGAAGGTCCCAACCATATGCAGTTGTGGGTACCATAATTGTGAATATCTGCTTCGGTGAAGCTCCCTATGGGACCACGCAGCGCTGCACTGGGCGGGGGGGAACGCTGTACTGTGTGGGTGGTGTGCCGAATGGGGTTTCCGGGACGCATGTGGACGGTCCCACTGAGGGCTTCGGTGGAGCTCCCTATGGGGCCATGAAGCGCTCTACTGAGTGAGTGAAAATGCCAAATTGGGTTACCGGGGCGAATGCGGACGGTTCCATTGGGGGCTTCGGTGGAGCCCCCTATGGGGCCACGGAACCCTGCTCTGCGCGGGTGAAAATGCCAAATTACATTTCCCGGATGCATGCGGACAGTGGCACTGGGACCTTGGGTGGAGCCCCCTATGGGGCCACGAAACGCTGCACTGGGTGGGTGAAACGCCAAATTCGGCTTCCGGGACGCATGTGGACGGTAGCACTGGGGCCTTCGGTGGGGCTCCCTATGGGGCCACGAAGCGCTGTACTGGGTGGGTGAAACGCAGGGAGGCGGGGGAAGAGGGCCACGACACGGTGTACTGGGTGTGCGGGACGCATGCGGACGGTAGCACTGGGACCTTCGGGGGGGCTCCCTATGGGGCCACGAAGCGCTGTGCTGGGTGTGCGGGACGCATGCGGACGGTAGAGGAGGGGTAGGAGGAGGAAGAGGAGGAGGAACGCGGGGACCGTCTCTTCAAAACGAGGACCCAACACCACAGGATGGTTGGGAACAAAGACCAAGCAAAGCATCTCCTCGAACCCAGAACCTCGAACCTCGCCCACCCTCCCTGCTCGCCGGATCCAGATGGGCCACCTCGGACCCCCAGCCAGCCCCAGCCTCGGATCCTCGTCTCCGCCGACGGTGCGCCCCGACTGGTCAGCAGCATGGCCCCTGCCCCCGCGCACGCGGCTCCCATGAGCGCCCCGGCGATCAGCGCACCCACCGCCGCAGCCCGCGAGGCCAGCTTCCCGAGAGCGGGCTCCGGCTCCGCGCCCTTCGGATGGTGCCTCTTGGCCTTCGAGGCCTGAGCGGGACCGAGTGGCAGCGACACGCTGCCCTGGAGAAGTCATGCAACTTTTCTCGTCGACTTGCTCGCCTTCGGTGTTTCATAGTTTATGGTCTCCAAGACCGTCAGAAACGGACACGGGATGGAAAACTAGTTACCCCAAGGAAGTTCGAAAATGATGGCCTCGGGGACCGTTAGAAACGGACCGAGGATGAAAAACTACCCCAGTGAAGAACTACGACCTGCAACAAGTGCATGATTTCCCCAGTGGATGTAGGAATGGGGATCAGAAGCGGATCCTTGGGGGTCCAGAATCGGTCAGACCGTGCGGTGCCCTCGAAATCCTCAAAAGCCTCAACGCACGCTGTGCGGACCTTGGAGGCCCTGGTCGCCCGAGAACTCCTCAAATAATTAACTGCCCGAGTCCCAGAACCGTGCGGCATCCCCAAATCCTCACTGTGTCACCACACAGCGTGGTCACCGCACCGTTTGGGGGCCCCCGGGGATGGGGCAGCACCCGAATCGGCGCGAACCCTCATCCCGATCGAGATCGTTTGGCGGATCGCGAGTCGGGCGCAGCTCCTGCAGGTCAGCACCAGGACGCCCCGAGGAGGCCCAGGCATCAGCAGGTGAAGCCCCGGAAGGCACCAGGATGCCCCAGGAAACTCAGAGGCAGCACCAGGAAGCGCCAGGAAGCCCCAAAGGCCAAAGGAGAGAGGGAACCCTAGACATGCGACGTCCTCATTTTTTCAACAGAGGATCGAGGCGAGGGGCCTCAAGGAAGAGGAGGACGAGCATTGGGGGTCGAGGATCGAGGAGAACCGAGGAGGATGCTCCAGGACCCAAGATCGAGGAGGAGAAGGAGGAGGATCGAGGAGGAACACGTCTCATCATTGATGTGTCACTCCAGCGTCAAACAACACCATTAAGATACTGTGGTGGGTTTACTCCTCTCTTTGCTAGCCCCCCCTCCCCCGCACTCATTATCGTCGTAATCATGCTCATCCTGTCCACCCTGCTCTCTCACCCTTCTGCGCCGTTTGAGCTTTTCACCTCCTGCTTCACCTGCTCCCGCAATCGATGCGCTGCTCTTCCCAGACCTTCCCTTCACTCCCCCCCTCCCCCCCGCCCTCCTCGACGCCCTCCTGCCCTGTCGGTTCGTCCACCTGCGCATCCTTTCCGCCCTCTGCCCTATCCTGCCCATCCCCCTCCGCCCGTCCCAGATCCCTCCCGTCTTCCCTCATCCCTCTTCTACTCCTTTACTGTTTCCAGGCTTCCTTTCTCCCCCCGGCCATCGCTGCCTGCAATGCTGATTCGCGCTCGCCCTCGCAGTCAGTACTTGCATCAACGCTACGATTTGCAGCGCGCGCGGTTGACATGATGAGGCAAAGCATCCACTTTTTACTGGAAGAATCATCATGGCTCTCATCGCAGTCGCCATGATGTGGCGTGGCTAACGAGGTGTGTGAATTAAACGGGGGATGTTTCAGATTCGGGACATGCCAAAATAATGTCGAATCCATACACAAATCAGAACCGTGTCTAAAACAGTCTCCATCTACCAGAGCGTTGCTAAATAGTGTAACAGTCGTGCATCTCCGTGCTCAAAAGGCCTATAACCCTGTTAGATACAGATGCACGTCTGAAATTGCTACAACCGACGCGCAGAACACATCGTATCTACATCATTTCGTGGCTGAGATTTAGACGCGGGTTTCAATAGTTCTGACGCAAAAAATAGAAGGGGGCCCAGGACACACAAATAAATACACACACGTAAAAATGTTCCCATATTTTCCCATATTTTCTGGGTTTTTGTCTTCCCCCCCCCACTTCCCATATTTCCCCATGTTTTCCTGGGAGTCGGCGATTAATTATGTCTGTGTGTTTCTTTCCCTCCTGAAAAATATGTGACCTCCCGCGCGGGAGCGCCGAACATTTGGACACTCGCTCGAGCCGTGGTTGACGGATCCATGGGCCCGGCGAGGGCCTCCAAAGGCCGACAATTGAGAAAAACGTGGCAGGAGAAAAACCTGTCAGGTTTTTTTCTCAATTGAGAAAACCTCATAGCGGTTTAACCTCCGTCCTGATCGTTTCCGGACGCAACGGGGGTATGGGCTCGGGGGCCAAAACTCGACCCCAGACAAATCCAGCGGTGCGCTTTGGCAGGGAATGCGGGGGCGAATCTGGCCGTGTGGCGGCGAGAATCGAGAAGTCTCCCCGCAGCGCCAAAACACCGAAACGACCGCCCAAAACCAAAAACAAACCTCGAACCTCGAACAAATGTCTGGGCCATGCCCCCTTGACTTCCGCATGCCTCGCATGTTTGGGACCGGCTCGGGCAGGTGGTAGTAGGGGGGTGACCTAGATGGGGGGTGCAGAAGAGGACCCTAAAGTGGCCCTAGGTCCCCTTTGGGAGCCACCAGGGGCCCAGAAGGGGCCCTGAAGGGCCCCTTTAGGGTCGTTCTCTTCACCCCCCCTTCAAATCACGCCCCACTGCCAAGCGCCCGGCTGGACCCCCGACGGACTCAAGACCCGGCAGCGGGCCGTGAAAGCGGCCCCGCCTGCTTCCCGAGGAGCGGCTCTGCCCCGAAGAGGTAGGGCTTCGCAGCGCCCTTCGGCGGCGCTGGGAGCCCCGATGCCGTCATCGCGGCCGAGCTCGTCGCCTGCCTGCCCCCCTCGGAGGGCGCCGACTATGCACCTGCGCCGATCTTGGCCAAGTCGATGCTGGGCGAAAGATTGGTCGGAGAAGCTGCAGGGGCCTGACATAGTCCGGACACCAGAACATCGGTTAGGAAGCGGGGTCATCCGCTCAAAATCGGCCCCAAATCCCCTCCAAGGGTTTGGGTGAAGTTTTTGATCCCGTGTCCGTTTCTGACTGCCCTGGGCCCCGAAAGCAGCACTATGAAACCGAAGAAGGTCCAACACCTTCCCGAACCCAGAACCTCGAACCTGCCCGCCCTTCCTGCTGGCCGGAGCCAGAGTTGGCTTGCCTCAGAGATCCCCAGGCGGCTCCGACACACATCGAGCCTGGGCCCAGGGTGTGCCCGGCCAGCGGTCGGCGTACAGTCGGGGCGTTGACCTAAGGAACCCCAGATAAGGAACGAGGCCCCTGTTTCCCATGAGTTCAACCTCGATTTCCCGTGGAAAACCTCAGGAAAGCCCGAGGCGAACTTTGAAACCTTCAAGGAACACCGAGCCCCTCCCCAACGAAAAGGGTTCCTTCTTCAGCGCCCCGACTATAGGTGCATACAGTTGGCCCCCCGCCTCGAGGCGCCCCGGCGCTGCGGGGTGTGCGCGCCGCACGCCTCTCGCCAAGAGCGGCCCCGCGGTGGCGCGCGCGCCCCGTCGCGAGCCAAAACGGCTCAGGCTTCCTGGGCCAAAACGGCTCCTGGCACAAGGGGGGGGGCCGGCAGAGGAGGAAAAAGAGGAGAAGGAGGAAGAGGAGGAGGTGGAGGAGGAGGAGGAGGTGGAGGAGGAGAAGGAGGAGGAAGAGGAAGAGAGTGGGAGGAGGAGGAGGAGGAGAGGAGGAGAGGAGGAGGAGGAGGAGGAGGGAGGAGGAGGAGGAGGAGGAGGAGGAGGGAGGAGGAGGAGGAGAGGAGGAGGAGGAGGGGAGGAGGAGGGGAGGAGGAGGAGGGAGGAGGAGGAGGAGGAGGAGGAGGAGGAGGGGGAGGGGGAGGAGGAGGAGGAGAGAGGAGGGAGGGGAGGAGGAGGAGGAGAGGAGAGGAGGAGGAGGAGGGAGGAGGAGGAGGAGGAGGAGGAGGAGGAGGATGGAGGGAGAGCAGGAGGAGAGGAGGGAGCAGCAGGAGGAGGGAGGAGGAGGAGGAGGAGGGTGAGGAAGGGGGGGGCGGGGGGCGATGGTCGAGGAGGGTCGGGGGAGAATGTCCAGCACCGGTGGGCCCCCTGGGGCCTCCTGGGGCGCCCTCGTCGCCACGGCTGGAGCCGCATCGGGACTCTGGAGAGAGCGTCTCCTGGGACGGCGACGGGTCGTCGCCCAACCCTTGCTCGGGAGCGGCCAAGAGGGGGGTGTCCAAGAGCGGGGGGGTGCAAATCATGACCGGCGGCATGTGCGCGGCCCAGCGGGGGGGCCAGGGACGTAATGAAATAAGAAGAGGCGCCATGAAATCTGGGGAAATATCATGCCCCCGCGATGATATTCAACCCCTCTAGTCATCACCCCCCTCTTTTCCGCCCCCGACTTGCGTCTTGGGGAGGAGGAGGACCCGTGCAAACCCAAGAGTCATCAACGATGTTCGAGTAAACCCTCCATTTATGCTGGTCCCATCGTACTCAAGGACGACATCCCAGAAATCATTTCGAGCACCCAGAGAAGTGTCGAAAGAGTGTCGAAACAGTGTCGAAAGAGTGTCTCCCAGGGCCCGACACGTGAAAACCATAGAGTTTCGGTACTTTTCTTCTGGTGCTCGAAATTCCTTCTGGTGATCAAGGCTAAAGTAGGTTGGAACATCATAACCTTCCATCCTAGCTCCGTCCCTCTTCATAGGCCCTTACAACGGTTCATTCAACCGTTCGAAGACCCCGAAGCATGCCAAAACACTGTTGTCGGGATCCCGACGCCACGGATCAACCTGACTTTAGCGACTTGACGATCCGGGATCGTGTCAGAACGCCGTTCCTGGGACTTCAACACCGCGAACCAAGGTAGCTGTTGAACCCTCATAATCTCGAATCCTTCCAAAGCACGATTTCTGGTACGCTGATCGTGGGCATCCGTGACAATCATGCAACAGCTTAAAAACGAATGTGCGCGTCGCTGAGACGACAACCACATTTTGGAAAGGGACCGCCCTCAATCCGCGAAGCTCTTGCACACTTTCATACGAATACGCGCGGCACAAAGGCGACACTCACATTTTGAAAACGAACCGACGTCAATATGTGAGACTCTTGCGATGTTTCACAACAATCCTGTGGTGTTGGGACCTCGTTTTGAAGAAGCGGTCCCCGCGTTCCTTCCGTCTTTCCTCCTCGCCCCGCCCCCCCCTCCACCGCTCGCATGCGTCACGCACACCCATGCCGGCACACCCCTTACTCGTTTCGTGGCCCCACAGGGAGCTCCACCGAAGCCCCCACTGGGACCGCCCGCGTGCGTCAGCCACCACCCAGCACAGCTTTTCGTGGTCCCATACGGGGCGCCACCGAACGCACCAATGGCACAACCCGCATGCGTCAGCCACCACCCAGTACAGCGCGTCGTGGTCCCATGAGGAGCTCCGTCGAAGGCCTCAGTGGGACCGCCCGCATGCGTCAGCCACCGCTCAACACAGCGTTTCGTGGCCAAATAAGGGGCTCCACCGAAGGCCCCAGCGGGACCGCCCTCATGCGTCAGCCACCACCCAGTACAGCGCTGCGTGGCCCCATAGGGAGCACAACTGAAGGTCCCAGTGGCACCGCCTGCATGCGTTCGTGGCCCCATAAAGGAGGCTCCACCGAAGGCCCCAGTGGGACCGCCCGCATGCGTCAGCCACCACCCAGTACAGCGCTTCGTGGCCCCATGGGGAGCTGCACCCAAGGTCCCGAGTGGGACGACCCGCATGCGTCAGCCACCACCCAGCGAAGAGCTTCGTGGCCACATCGGGGGGTCCACCGACGGCCCCAGTGGCTGCGCCCGCGTTATTCACAACTGCATACGGTTGGGTACTTTGCAAAGATAGTTTGAAACGAATTTGCGCGGCGCTAGGGCGAGAACCACATGTTGAAAACGATCCGCCTTCAATCCGTGAAACTCGTTTTGGAGAGACAAATACCGCGTTCCTTCGTTTCTCCTCCCCCCCTTCCCTCCTCCCATCATCACCGTCATCACCCGTTTCAGCACACCCTTCACACGTTTCGTTGCCCCATAGGGAGCTCCACCGAAGGCCCCACTGGCTGCGCCCGCATGCCTACCCCACGCCCATGTCGGCACACCCCTCACACGCCGCGTGGCCCCATAGGGAGCTCCACTGAAGGCCCCAGTGGCTGCGCCCGCATGCCTCCCCCACACCCATGTCGGCACTCCCCTCACACGCTCCGTGGTCCCATTGGGAGCCCCACCGAAGGCCGCAGTGGCTGCGCCCGCATGCCTCCCCCCCACACCCATTTCGGCACACCCCTCACACGTTTCGTGGCCCCGTAGGGAGCCCCACCGAAGGCCCCAGTGGCTGCGCCTGCATGCCTCCTGCATACCCATTTCGGCACACCCCTCACGCGCTTCGTGGCCCCATGGGGAGCTCCACCGAAGGCTCCAGTGGCTGCGCCCGCATGCCTCCTCCACACCCATTTCGGCACACCCCTCACACGTCTCGTGACCAGTGGCGTCCGCATGCGCTCCCACCGCACCCATTTCGGTACACCCCTCACACGTTTCGTGGCCCCATAGGGAGCCCCACCGAAGGCCCCTGCACACCCTTCACACGCTTCGTGGCCCCAGAAGGAGCTCAACAGAAGGCCCCAGTAGCTGCGCCCGCATGCCCCCCCGTACCCATTTCGGCACGCCCCTCGCACGCCGCGTGGCCCCATAGGGAGCTCCACCGAAGGCCCCAGTGACTGCAATCTCGGCACGCACCTGATACGTTTCGTGACCATATAGGGAGCTCCACCGAAGGCCCCAGTGGCTGCGCCCGCATACCTCCTCCACTGACTCATTTCGGCACACCCCTTCACGCGCTTCGCGGCCTCATAGGGAGCTCCACCGAAGGCCTCAATGGCTGCGCCCGCATGCCTCCCCCACACCCACTTCCGCACACCCATCACACAATCGTGGCCCAAAAAGGAACTCCACACAGTAGGTCCCTGTGGGACCGCCCGCATGCGCCCGCCACATCCACACCAGCGCTTCGCGGCCCAAAAATGAACTCCACCGAAGGTGCCACTGGGATCGCTCACATGCACCCCCCACTACCCCGCACCGCGCTTCGTGGCCCCATAGGGGACTCCAGCGAAAGTCCCAGTTCCACCCAGTACGGCGCTTCGTGGGTCCATATGGAGCTCCACCGAAGGTCCCAGTGGGACCGCCCGCATGCGTCCGCCACAGCAAGTACAGCGCTTCGTGGCACCATAGGGAGCTCCACAAAAGGTCCCAGTGCGACCGCCCGCATGCGTCCACCACACCCACTGCAGCGTTTCGCGGCCCAATGAGGAAGTCCACCGAAGGTCCCAGTGGGACAATCCACATGCGCCCGCCACACCCACGACAGCGGTTCGCGGCCCAAAAAGGAACTCCACCGAAGGTCCCAGTGGGACCGCCCGCGTGCGTCCGCCACGCTCAGTACAGCGCTTCGCGGCCCCCTGTGGAGCTCCACCGAAGGCCCCACCGGCACCGCCCACATGCGCCGGCCACACCCAGCACAGCGTTTCGTGGCCCCGTAGGGAGCTCCAATGAAGGCCCCAGTGGCACCGTCCGCATGCGTCCGCCACGCCCAGTACAGCGCTTCCTGGCCCCATAAAGGGGCTCCATCGAAGGTCTCAATGGCACCGCCCGCATGCGTCGGCCACACCCAATATAGCGCTTCGTGGCCCCATAGGGATACCCCCATAGGGATACCCGCCGAAGGTCCCAGTGGGACCGCCCGCATGCGTCCGCCACGCTCAGTACAACGCTTCGTGGGTCCATAGGGAGCTCCACCAAAGGTCCCAGGGGCATGCGCCCGCCACACCCAGTACAGCGTGTCATGGACCCATAAGGAGCCCCACCGAAGGTCCAACTGGGACCGCCCGCGTGCGCCCGCCAACACCAGTACAGTGCTTCGTGGCCCCATGGGGAGCTCCACCGAAGGCCCCACGTGGACCGCCCGCATGTGTCCACCACACCCACTACAGCGCTTCGTGGCCCCATAGGGAGCTCCGTCGAAGGTCCCAGTGGAACCGCCCGCATGCGTCCCCCCACCCAGTACAGCGCTTCGCGGCCCAAAAAGGAACTCCACCGAAGACGACAGTGGCATCGCTGCGCCCCCCCCTACCCCGCACCGCGCTTCGTGGGCCCACAGGGAACTCCAGCGAACGTCCCAGTTGGACCGCCTGCATGCGCCCCCCCACCCAGTACAGCGCTTCGTGGCCCCAAATGGGGGCTCCACCGGATACCCCAATGACACCGCCCGCATGCTTTTCTACAACCCACTGCAGCGCGTCGTGGCCACACAGGGAGCTCCACCGAAGGCCCCAGTGGGACCGCCTGCATGCGTACCCCCCACCCATTACGGCACGCCCCATCACGCGTTGCGTGGCCCACTGGAAACGGCACCCACAACGCGTTACCCACAACTACATATGGTCGGTTCCTTCGCCAAAGAAATTTAAAACGAATGTGCGCGGCGCGAAGGCGAGAGCCCCATGTTGAACACGTCCCGCCCTCCATCTGTGAAGCTGTTGCCATTTTCTACGCTCCAGGGTCGTAAATGGTGAGGACGTCTCAGGCGAAACGCCCGGCCCGCCCTAAAATCTGGCCTCGGGGTGCGACAGAGAGAAATTATCTATAAGGAAAAGGAATCAAGAAGGAGGAGGAGGAGGAGGAGGAGGAGGAGGAGGAGAAGCCGTTACGTCGAGGTCCTTGCGCACAGCCCCCGCGATGCCGTTGCGGACTGGCGCCCGTTCTGGCCCGTTGAAGGGCCCGAGGATGATCCCCGCTCGCTGCTCGACGCCCTCGCGGACGAGCTTCATCGCGACAGACGTGACCTCCAGCAGGGCGCGGGCCTTCTCCGCGGCCGCCTCGGGTCAAGCCATCCTGCAGGGGTGCCGCCGAGGCGCGGCGATCGTCCCGAGCGCCCGCTGCACGAGGGCTGCCACCACCTGGCTGCTTTCCTGCCCGCTGGCCGTGCTGAACTCGTATCCTGGTCGTCCTTGTGCTGGTCCGTGCGCCTTCTCGGCGCGCGCCGCGTACAGCAGGGGTTCGTTGCGCGGCCCCGCCTCCACGCCTTGCCCTTCAGCGCGTCGCCGTTGCTCACCTCCTCCCAGTTGGCGCTGAGGTGACTACCCTGGTCGCCCTCGTAGCTGCCCTGCTTCTCGCCCTCGCCTGGGGGCACGAGCGCCCGCTGCGCGAGGGCCGCCTCCACCTGGGTGCTCTCCTGCCCGTTGGCCGTGGCACCGAGCTCGGTCTCCTGATCGTCCTTCCGTTGGTCCGCGCGCCTCCTCTGCGCGCGTCTCGTAAGGGTTGTTTGCGCGCCCCCCCACCGAGCCTCGCACGCTAAAGGCGTACCCTCACGCTGATGGATGCAAGTGTTCGCAGATGGATGCAGCCGCACGCTGACGCGCGCGGCCATCGAACGGTACCTCGCCTCCTAATCTAATGGCGCGCCCTCGCTGGTCTCAGGGGTCGGTCCATATCAGATGGCGGTCCACAAAGAAGTTCTTGAACTCGCGTGCGGCTACCGTGGTCCCGAAATCCTCCGCGAAGCTCTTCCCTGTTCTCGAATTGTGGAGCGAGAGGCCGTCCCTCAACTGCTGCGGGATAGAGGGCTCCATGTGTTGATGGAAGAAGCTGTTGCGCTGCGTGTAGGTGTGTGCGTAACCTGCTGCGCCACGACCCAGCGCCTGAGCTTGTTTCCAGACGCCTCGCCACGTCGTGCTCTCGGAGCCGCACTCGACTCAGCCGAATTAGACACGTTGCCAGAGACAACTGGGTGGCTCGCGAAATCGGCCACTTTTGCATCCAACGCCTCAGTCTTGCTGTCAATTGCCGCCGACACCGCCGTCTGAACCGCCTGCGTCCATCCTTCTGTTCAAAATTCCAGTGTTGACCTCCTGGGCCTGCCAAGCGCTGCGCAGGTCTGACACTTCCTACTGCAGCGACTGTTCCAGACGCTCGATCTTCTTGTCCGTCCCCCTCATCTCTCCGATTAGACCCCTCATCCAAGCTGGTGCCTCATCAGGCGGTGCAGCAGCTCCCCTGGGCGGAATAGGACTTAGAGTAGATTCCCGACGCCGCCGACTGCCGTACCTCGCGTTCCCAGGACGCGATCTGTCTCGACTGTCCGCTGGCGACCTGTTGCGTGCACTTCTCGAATGGGCTTATGGAGTAGTGCCCGAAAGGCTTCTCACGCTGACGGCGGGTCTCTCCCTTCATCTCCATGTCCCTGCGGCCCTGCGGCGCCATTTCCAAAGCACTGGGGTCCACCGGAGTGATGCGAGGACTGGTCGGACGCGGACCCCCACAGGAGCGAAAATGGTCGCCTGTCGACTAAGCGCGGGGCGCCTCGAGCCGCTCCCTTGGCAGCGACCACGTACGAAGCGCCAAGGTCGCACGTTTCGCACTTGAGCCAAAATGGCTACGGAAGGAGGAGGAGGAGGAGGAGGAGGAGGAGGAGGAAGAAGAAAGGAACGACGAGAGTGAGGAGGACGAGGAGGACGAGGAGGAAAGGGAAGGCCTACCAGACAGACTTCGACCGCCAGGCGGCCCGGTGACGGCGGGTGGGTTGGGTTGGGTCCGATTGGTGACAAGTGGACAAACGGACCCAAGCCCCGATCAGATGGCCCAAAGAGACTCGATCGCACTGTGGCCAAGACGTCCCCGAGAAGCCCCCACGAGGGCCCAGGAGCCCCACCAAAGGCCGCAACGAAGCGCCCAAGCCTCCGAGAACCCTCACACAATCATACGGCGTCTTGGCGCGGTTCCCACGCGACCGCAAATCGCCCTGCCTGCCCTGTTCGGTAAGGCTCGGTAGAACCATCCTGCGCTGGCACTATGGCAATGATTGCCTGCGCTGGCACTATGGCGCGGGACGTACGCTTGCTAGTTCCGTGCTAATAGAACACAATAAATGGGCATCCCACATCTATCCTGATCGCGAGGCTTGCGCCCGTCACACGGTGAGTACACCGCGCTCTTCACGGTGGTGGTCTCGTTGCCTCCAGACCCTCCCGCGCACGCTGCGATCTGCTGAGCTGCCAGCCGCAGAAGAAGGCGATGAGCCCCAACGCAATCTGGGCGAGCGGCGCTAAATAATCAAGTCGCTCACAAGGGCAGGTGGTGACATGCGAGACATTTAACGATGTGTCACAAGATCTTTAGAAATGCATGGCACACGAAACCTACTATCACAGGCAACACGCATTTGGCAAACAAGTAGGTTGTCGCGGCGGCAAGATGTGGGCACCTGCAGGCTACACAATCACCACCCAAAACTTAATACACCCACCAATCTGTACCGAGTGCAGAAGAGGTGGGGAAACAGGCATGCGGTGCAGAAGACACTCTGCAATAATGATCCACTCGGATGGTTGAAACTGAAACCAATCGAAACTCTGACTTGAGCCACTGCCAGCAAGGTAGCTCTCAGCCCATCCAGCCCAGACGGCTCAACACATCTTAAACGCACATGCCGCTTGACCATCAAGAAAACCCATGGTCCTCATGCCATACATCGGCTGCGAACCACGACTGCAATTGCTTGAGGAAATTTGGCACCAGTGGCAACGTTCGGAGGCCATATCGGCCTCCCGCAGCCGCCGAAGCCGGATCGGTGCATCATGCTGAACGTGTTCATGTGTTCGTCTGGCTTGCGGCCGCATGTCTCGACGCAGCGGGGCAGGCTCCATTCAGTCGACGCCCGAAAGCCTGGGCACGCCCGCGTTGACCCTCCTCAGCAATTCAACCTTCACTCATGCTGGCTTCCACGGGCAAGGTCGATTCTTTTTACATCCGGTGGCCCTCCGCCAACTTCTGCGGAGAGCTAAAAGATAACGCCTTTATCCGTCGAATGTGTGTTAGTCACGAGGCCGCAAGGCAAACTGGGGATGCCACGCGAGCCAACCTGCCATCGGCAAGCTGCTAGGGCGAGACGTCCATGGTCTCGTACAGAGACGAACAACCAATGACTTGTCTTCGTCTTCAAGGGGGCTCGGCTTTCGAGCCTTCAGCCCTTCGTGGAGCGGCCGGAGCTCACACCGGCATGATGGGCAACCACATGCGAAGCCTACCCCTGCAGGTCCACTCTCTGCAGAAAGCGAACAAAAACAGAGGCCCAGAGGTGCACCCCAGCGAGGGTACCTGACACCCCGGCATCGATTGGAACCGCCGGGGCAGGGCTCACAATCGGCCGCAGACAACCGCCAGAGGTCCGCGCGGACTTCCTGGATCGGCGCGCGGAGGGCGCCAGGGGCGGCGCGGGAGGCGCCGCGAGGGGGGTCCAGCGCCGACCCGGGCAACGCGCGGCCCTCCGAGCACAGACTTGTGGCTCTGTCGCTGCTGCCAGGCTCGCTACCTTCGCACAGATCCCGACCCCGGCACTCGACGGACCCAAGGCGGTCATCATCCTCCAGATGGCACTCGACAAACCCACCCTCAGGGAAGTGCCGCCAGAAACCCGGGGGATCCTTCAGATTGGCACCGAGATGAGGTGATATGATCCTGGGAACAGGCAGGCGATCCAGCCAGGCAGCCAACGACTGCTGCAAGGCAGCGGGACCGGAATGCAGTAGTTGCCGCTCTCCATGGGGTCCGTCTTCGAGCTGTCGACGAGGGACTGCACGTACGAGCCGGCCTGCCAGCCCGGTCGTCCATCCTCGTCCGCCCGCCTCCTCCCACGACGAGGGGGAAGAGGAGGGGGGGGAGGAGGAGGTGGATGAGGAGGAGGAGCATGATGAGGAAGAACCTGACATCCTCTCGTTTGGGAAAGATGTGGACGCACGGTTTTGCTCATTTTGGGCTTCTGGGGGGCCTCGCCAGGCCCAGGACAGTCCGAAAACGACTCGGGCAGCACAGCCAATCTCAGGGGAGGAATCCAAACCTCTCGGGAGCCAAATTGAAAAAAAATGCGGTGGAGAATATCCGAGGCGGAAGGGGAGGAGGAGGAGCTTCTGTCCTGACCGCACACCCTCCCTTCACGATCCCCTGCCGCGGCGCGGGGTTCAGCGCTGACCCAGGAAATCCGCGCGGACCTCCGAAAAAGCTTATGCCGTTGCTTCATTTTCGAATCGAACAGAGTAGCTCAGGGACGAATAGCAGGGAAACGATACTGGGACCGTTTGGGACTTCCCGAACGAAAAGATATTGTCAGATCGACGACACCATCCGAAACGGTTCAATCCGAACGTCGACAGGAGGACTCACAGGACTGTCATGGCAAGCTATCGGATCCAGTGTATGCCAACCGATCAGCACTTGTATAAGATGGCCGTACGATGCCAGGACAGCAGAGAAGACCAGGCTGCGAGAGTACCCTTAGACGTCAAAGCAAAAAGAGCGATGGTAAGAAAGGGCACGGCATCATCACAAGGATGCAATGCCAAAAGGCAACGA